ACACACACACGCAGCGACATGTTGCAGGTGGGAACAGGTTTTGTGCGCTGCTCAGATGCGGGCCATATCTTTGGTCAGACTGCGCGTAATTTATTCCCACTGTGCCTGCAATTACTTTTTGGAACAGAAGACAGACGAAAAAAATAAAGAGGATGGCAATAAAAAAGCTCGCAAGTCGCAGCTTGCATACCCTTTCAATAACATTTATCTATAATGTTAAATGCACAGTAACTAGCATGTCTCTGTTATGCTTAAACACGTAAAGTTCTACACCAACCTTGGTTTTTGTTTTTAATAAGATTGATGAGGCATGTGCACTTTATCAACCATTGCCAAGTGTTCTTGATGGGATTAAATTTCACTGGCATTGGCAACACGTAGCAAATTAGCTTAACAGCCAGATGCCATGTGTACACAAAACTATAAACTGCCCACGCACACATTTGTATGTATGTATGTATATTTTTCACATATCAATTGTGCCAAGTTCCAAGTAAATGGCCATCCTTTGGCCAAGTGGATAGCGGTCATGTTCAAAGTGCAGCTGCCTTCACCAACAAGTAACAACTCAAAGTGCAAACAGCAGCAGCAGCAGCAGCAGCAGCAGCAGCAGCCGCAGCCGCAACAGTAGCAGTCACTCATAGTCTAGTCACGTATGCGGCAGGCACAGCGCCTGTTTACATGTTGCCGAGCAATATGGCCGATTGATAGAGGTAGCAAAAAACAAAAAAAAAACTCAGCCAACGGTAACAGTTGCGCGCCTCTCATCCTCTCCCTAGACTTTAGCAGAAAGAAGCACCCCTGCTGCCGCACGCTTTGTCTACCTCCACGCATGGCTGCACGGCCCCCTTTGAGGCAACTGCGGCTTAGTTAACATTTGCCCACAAATGGCAATGGCGATGGATGTCGCGCTGTAATGGCATTTTCTATTATGGGCACATTAATGAGCGGCGCTGAGCAACACTGGCAGGGAGGAGAGCGCGCGCACAGGTGAGAGCGGCCGTCAGCATAGCTGCATGTGGCCGTTGCAGCAAATGCCAATTGCAAAATTACCAACTTACCAATACTTTAATATGTGCGTGTTTGTGTGTGTACTATGTGCTTGTAATTACGTGCTTCTCTTGTTCTGTGCGCTTCATACCTGAGCAATTAGCGCGCGCGCTGCTTTTGCTTGCAGCAGCTGCCTTTAGTCAGCAGCTGTCAGCTGTCAAAAGTAAGCGGCGAGAGCGAGATGGAACGTGCGGTGTTGCAAATCGATCGCATTCGATCACTCTGGCAACACTTAACTTTGCGGTAATGCATCACAAACAGCAGAAAGAATATGAAAAGTGCAAAAAGCTGCAGTCAGCGTCGCCAGTCTGACGTCTGAGTTGTATTTTTGTATTTTTTTCTCGTAAAATTTATTGCACAAGCGCAAATTTCCAGCGAATAGCAAAATTCTGAAAATGCAAACGGCACGAAAAGAAAATTAAAAACAAAAAATGCTGTACCAAAGCAATACCGAATGTGGAGCGAGCCCAGTTCGACAGGCGGCGGCAACGTAATGCAACTTGTTGCTGCCACAAATCTTGAAGGCTTACAGACAGAGCTGAGTGCAACATAAATGCGCAAACATGTTGGCCACAATTTAACACAAGGTCGTGAAAACAATGAGCTAAAGCAACTTTAGCCGCTTATCTGTAATTGTAGTAGCAGCTAATTGTGCGAAAAGGCCACAGCTCCACCTACAACACGCCACGCCTGCCAGAGTGAATGTGCAAGAAAGAAGAAGCAGCAGCAAAACCAGAAAGTAAACAAGGTGTTAATTTCGCGCTCTGCTTTTGCGTCGGGCAAATTGAATTTAATTTACAACAAAGCAGATGAAAGAAAAACGCAGCAAAGATAAGATTCCAGCACGACGCAAAGCCAGCCACCCACAGCACACACACACACGCGCACACATGCAAGCACAAACAAAAGCTCGGCAGACACGCATACTAAGCAGTAGAGGGGGGAGCAAGGCAGCGAGAGATGACACTAGATAAGCTGCCTTTTGATAAACGCACTTGACTTTGCCAGCGACTCGCTATGAATGGCAATTCAAATATGCATGCATACATATGTATGTATGTGTCTACACACATGTACAGTGAAAGCTCTACTAACGTACAGCTGCTTTGGGCGGACATCTCAAGTGGTCGGCCGATTTATTTAACCCCAATATTTTTTCTTAATTTTCTTGGGTGAACGCTTTTGACCTAAACAAGTTTTATAACGGAAAATCTTTTAAAAACAAGTATTGTAACGGATACATTTGATTTTAAAGCCAAATGTTATCTAGACTGAAAAGATAATCTAAATTTTAATATATTTTTAACAGAACATAGTTTGTATGTTATGTTAAATGATGTTGGGCACGTGCAATAAACCCGCCTATGTGTATGTGTAATCGAACTATAAATATGAAGTGTGATTGTATGTGTATCGGCATTAACATAAATTAATAGTGTTAACAATGCAAAAGCATGTGCACATTTGTGCAGATATAAATGTGGCATTGCCAGAAGAATAAAATTAATTAAAACAGTTCTTATTTTTGAAACTGGTTCGTCTTAAGGTTCGGTTCACAGCAAAAATAAATGATGAGTTCCGGATTGATCCGGTTTTCCTAAATTTTGTTACTTAATTGTTCATCGCTTTTAAGCATTAGGTGATCACCTCAAGCGAGCTTTTACTGTACCTTCATGTACGTGTGTTTCCATGTGTTGTTTACTTCTTTATGTTTAAGCTTAAAGAATATATTGTTTTTGGAATACTTACGAACTGTGACCATTTTCGGATCGTAGGCACAAACGCGCCGCTCCACGGCCGTTATTTTGCGCTGGACACGGCCCGCCCGCTCGCCGACCGACTGCAAGTCCCGCTGCAGCTCGTCGAAGATGTCGCTGGCAATGAGCACCAGGCTGGCCAGCTGGCGCAGCGCATTGCTCAGCGTTATATTGCTGATCGAGTCGAACTCGTAGCCGGATACGATCCTGGTAGCCGTCGGCGACTGCGGCGCGCTGGCGTTGCGTGCGGGCAGCGCCACGCGCTGCTGGCTGGGGTGGCGCGAATTCGGCAACGACTGGGAGGCACGCGCTTGCGTGGGCGATGTGGGTGTGGGTGTTGTGGGCGTGGTCGAGGGTAGAAATTCCACATGCTGCTTAAGCTTTTTCATGGGCAGCGCGGCTGGCGGACGCGGCTCAGCGTCCGACTCACCATTGGGCAGGACATGGACCAGCGCCCGGGTCAGGCTCGGCGATGTGGGCGTGCCGGCGTCCGTCTCATCCGGCAACTGCTTGTTGATGCAATTGTTGTTCTTGCACTTGCCGGGCACGCACTGGAATCGCGTGGAGGCATGCCCCAAGCTGGCGGCTGTCGCCTGAGCCACATTCACCGGCTGCACAATACGCTGTACAAAGGGCATATCGCTAGCTGCTCGCCCCGCTCCTCATTCAGACTGGCGCGTATCCAATCCAATAAAGAGAAAAAAACGCAAAAATCTCACAGCCGAAACTGGTCAAGCAACTTCTGGAGTTGGATCCTCGGCGGCAACGGCGGCGGCTCCTTCCAACGTTGTCTTCGGCTTTGCCTTTGCCTTTGCCCCTGCCTCTGCCTCTGCCTCTATTGTTTTCTGTTTTTGGCTCTGCGATGCTGCGGCAACATAAATTCCTTTGCTTTTAGCTGTTTACACACACACACACGCATGCACACACACACATGCACGCACAAACTAGTTGGCCGCCTTAATGCGAGACTTTGGCCGGGTTTTTAATTGAATGTAAACCGAATACACACACCGGCGTTTTGGGCGGCAGTTAGTTATGCACTCTGAACTGGTTTATGCTTTGCATCTCATACGGCAGCATTTAACACGCCGCACACGATTTGGTAATAATTACGATTTTATTGCTTCTTCTGTTTCTCAGGCAGGCACACTATTTCTTTCTTCTTTTTTATTGCCGTTACGCGTGTTTGCCGCTCATTCACAGTCGACACATCATTCAAAAAGGTGCGCACAACAACAACATCAACTACTACTTCAGCGTTGACGTCCGCTCACACGTCCTGTTCGTTTGCCGGTCAAAAAAAACTGTTAACAAAAACTGTTAATGTTAACGGCTGCACTAAACTGTTATACTCAAAAGGCGCGGTTATTTATCGATAGCACGGACATTAAAAACAATATCGATAGACCGATAATAATGTTAAATTTTTTCAGCATTTTACCACACTAATTAATGCTGCATTTTCAGTATTTTAGTAAGAATATTTTTATGGCATTTTGTGTATTTTCATGCTTGTCTGTTACGGTCAGTCTGTCAATAATATTTTGCTGTACGTCTTCATTTTAATTTTGACATCAAACGTTTTTCATGTTTATTTCAAAAATATAAAACGTAAACAAACTGGAAATTGCCGCATATCAGCATGCCCAAGTACTACTGTGACTATTGCGATACATATTTGACGCACGATTCGCCATCGGTGCGAAAAACGCATTGCACGGGCCGCAAACATCGTGACAATGTCAAGTTCTACTACCAAAAGTGGATGGAGGAGCAGGCACAGCATCTGATCGATGCCACTACAGCTGCATTCAAGGCGGGCAAGATTACAAATAATCCATTTGCCGGACCCGCGCCGGGCAACAAACCAACCGGCGTTTCCATACCGCCGCCCAACATGGGAGCACCGCCACGTCCAGGAATGCCAAATATGCCGCCGTATATGCCACCCATGATGAATCCCCAGATGGCACTCACAGGCATACGACCGCCGCCTATCCTCAATCCGATGGCCATGATGGGTCCGCCGCCACCACTGGGAACGATTCCTCCACAGATGATGAACGGACCGAAATAAAATATTGAAATTAAGTCAAATAGCTAAGAACAATTGCAAATACACAATATACATTTTTTAAATGAACCAAGCACCTATTTATTTAAAACTAACTATGTTGGACAAAAATTGCATAATTTAAATTCGTATATTATAATTCCCATAATTTCTGTTTAAGAATTTAAAATGTATTTATATGTTTAAAAACGGACTTAAAAATGCCAGCAATTTCAAATAATGCACCATTTTTGCCCAATATTGACATGTATATAGATCTGCACTCTTCACACGCAGAGGCAATTTACACTTTTGCATGAGTTTGAAAGCTGTCAGCTGTTTGCAATGCGGGCAGGCGGTTAGCCTTCCAATCCCTCCCCAAAACAACAAAAAGCTTGTTCAACTTGTTCGCGTTTGCACTTCCAGCGTCTTTGCCGCGTCACAAAAATAATCTTACAAACGAGCAATGGTGGTTGTTAGTGTTGAGTTGGAGGCGGCGTCGGCATGGGAATCGGGTGCAGCATTGGATGAGCTCATACAAAAGCGTAGAAACAAGTTTAGCTTTTTGGAAATGAGATACGAACACGTATATGCATACATATATACATATTATTGTATGTGAATGCTTTGTGCCGCAGTGTTGTGCCAGTCTCAGCTTCAGTTGGACGTGAAACGTTAACGACACCGGAGCGCCCACGCGGAAAAAAAGATTGTAACAAATACGAGAAGTGTGTTTCAAGCTCGCATTAGTGTGAGTGGTGCTTCTTGTTGAGTGTATGCGAATAAGAACAATAATACTGGCCGTCGTGCTATTTTAGCAGTCGCTGCTAATTGGTTCAATGCTGTTACGTGGCTGCAGCGTTGCTTTTAATTAACTATCTTACCACGGAGCTGGCACTTCAATCCGAATCAAATATACATATGAACATACAAACACACACATGTAGATTAGTAGCAGCAGGACTTCAGTTTTAAAATGGTAATAACACAAAACAGTTGAAAAAAAAAGAAAAAAAAAAGAAAAACATCCGAGTAAATTGTATGTGCCGAAAAAGGGAAACCTAAACAAAATCAATAATTGGCCGTGCCTGCGTGTTTGAGTGCGTGCGTATGTGTGTGAGTGTGTCAAATCTTACACGCTGGACAACTGAAGCAAATGCCATGCTGATTAAGCAATAAGCGAAGAAGAAGAAGCAAAGCACAAATAATATCAACTCGAGAAGACAAAATGCAGCAGCAGCAGCAGCAACAACAGCAACAGCAAGCAGCTAGCGTTGCCAATTCAACAAACGTCAACTCAGCTGTCGGCCTAACTCCTCCCGCTACCGCTCCCGCTCTGTCGAACAGCAGCACACCCATTCGCATAGGCAGCGCAAAACATGCGGGCGGCGGCGATTCGCTGTTGCCGCCAGTGGGCAACACCGCCTCCCACTCGGTGCCCGGCACCCCACAGCAGCAGACGCCGCAAGCGAGCAGCGTGCCGACGGCAAGCGGCAGCCATCTGCACCTGCAGACAGCCGGTGCCCTCTCGATGGCCGCCTCCAATCAATCACTGGGCGTCAACGTCGGCGCCGGCAGCAACATCAGTGGCATTAACATAACGCCACCAAACAGCGCCGGGCTGAGGCAGTCATCAGGTGAGTCGTCTGGTGGTGAGCTGGTAACCAGGACACATCGGTCGGCCAGCTAATCCCCAATTGCTTTTCAATGTCGTCTCGTGTCATCATTTTGCGTTGCTTTTTCTATTGGCAGCTGGCTCAGGCAGCAGCTCACATTTTTCGCTCACTGCTCGCTCTCGTTTTGTTGTTGTTGTTTTTGTTTCGTTTCCATCGCACCACAACACACACGCACACACATACATCTAAATGCTAATCCATGTTTTGCTGCTGTCGCTAATTAAATACCCTTTCAAAACGGGTAAACGGTGAGGTATATTGAATATGTGCAAATGTATGTAACAGGCAGACCCATTAAATTATATACTATATATTCTGGGTCAGCATCAATAGCCGGGTCTATCTGCCCGCTAGATACTTACGGCTCGTGGAGCGCGGATAAAGTCTTCGTATATCAAGTTGTCACCCCATTTCATTGAAATTGACAATTATTGATTTTCTTTTTTTGGCACACCTCGCAAAATTTAAGAGTTAGAGCCACCAAACTTGGCGTGTGCGCTTAAATATGTATCTATGGGATAGAAAAATAGGCGCAGCTCTGCTTTTTTATATATATGCACAGTTGCATTTAATGTTAAGGTACATTTTAACGGTTCGATTATAAGCCTCGAATTAATTCGAAACAAAATTTTTCAACTGGGGCTGAGGAAAGAAGAAGCACGACCTCTGTGTCAGATTGTATACAAGTGTATATAGACAAGTTTGATTTTATGTCAAGCCAATCTAGAGCTGGGTACAGGGTATCTGTTGGTCGGTCACCATCGACTAGAGCATTTCTGTTTTGATTTTGTCGCTGCTCCATTTCAATGGCAGTCGCCGCAAGACGACTAATGTCGACTATCGCATCAAACATCAAACACTTCCGCTCTGCCACTCATCCGTGCAAAACCGGGCTGGGGTTGGGGTTGGGGTGGAGGTGGGGGTCAGGAGTGGCTGGGCGTTAATTGTTTATTGTGTTTGGGTTGCGTTGCTAAGCTCTGACCGCAGCACAGCAACCACCATTTGAATGCTATTTGAAATCGGCTTTGCCCCATGTCACTTGCACTTGCACCTGTTCCCGTCATAATTCACGCATGAACATACTTCCATACAGTTTTCACTCGTTAACTAGAACGTTTCGTTTCAAGAGCTCATTAAATGTATTTAAATAACTAGATGTACAAAGTTGGAACATGAAAAGCTTTACAAATGGAAACCAATGCTTTCTGCCTTGCTAAACACTGCCTTTTCCCAATATCCTAATTTACGAGCGACGACTGTACATGTGTTTGTGTTTGTGTTTGTGTTATGCGTGCTTGTTTCTGTGTATGTCATACAGGTCGCCATAGTTGCCTATTGATTGCCATGTGCCGTTTTGCTATTTATCAATTTACAAAGCTCAACTGGATTCGACCAAACCAATTAATGTCAGCCAAAATTGGCCGATGCATACACATATGTAGGATGTTCATCTATTTGATAACAATTTCATTATGAGGTTTGCCACTAGAGCACGGTGCGAACAATTAGGCGTAGGTCTGTAATTATATATGTAAAGGTCCGCTCGGAAATTGGATAAATTTAAATTGCATTCGACGCGTTAAATCTTAAATTCATATATCATATTTCTTTTTATATAGTTTTTAATATAGCAAATAGAATTTTTAGGAAATAGCGAACTCAGTTTTTAATCTACTTTCAAAGCGATTTCATTTTCCTTCGTTTATTGTATTGAATTTTCTCCATATTCGAAATTAACATATATTTTCCGAATAGTGAATATCCAGAATTATAAAATGCAGTTTTAATTTTAACTGTAATTAATTTTATGATTTGCTGAGGAGCTTAAATTTTTTGTATTTTTAGTACAGTTTTCAGTATAAAGATATAGAATAAATTACTGCTCAAGGTCGTACTTATCACATTGTCAAATTAGAATACCTTTTTCTTTCTTTTCGCAAGAGTATTATGTATACGGTGTGCTGTATTAGATTTATCCTCACTAGCTCGCAATCGTTATGTATTGTATCGTAAGTAATTGGCATACAATTTTTAGCAGGTATTTTTATTTTTGTTTTTTATACCTATACATTTGCAGTGAACATTGTGCAAATACACACATACACTCACACACACACACTCACAATTAGCTAGCACGCGCAAACTTTTGGGCATTTTTTATTGCCCTTCGGCTTCGACACAGTGGGGCCAAAGGCGTCATGAGGGCCAACTGCAGGCCATGAACGCTGAGAATTGCAGCATGTGCCAACTGCTGGATATACAAATGTACCTTCCTCTCAAATAAACAAAAATCGATGCGTCACTGCGTTTCGTGATGTGTCCATTTTCATTTCATAGCTTTTTATTCCATTGTGCTTTTATTTTATTTTATTTGATTTTTTTTTTGGCCTACGTAATGGCCAAGCTTGGGCGGGGTAAGAGTTAAGGGCTCGGCTTGTGTACCATAAGGCATGCAGTATTCTATTTTTGTTTCGTTTTAAGCTTCAGTGGCAAAGGTCAGAAGTGAGAGCTGCACTATGAACTTTTGTCTTAGCCCGCACCAGCGCCCCATCCGAGCCCGTTTTTTGATTTCATCCGTTGATGAAAATTCGCTTCCACATTTGCATAACGAACGAATTTGAACGTCATCTCTAGCAGAGGGCTGCATAATTTATCTATTGAATGAATATACATCAGTTATCCATTTCAATGTGTGTGTGCGGGTGTGTGTGTGCCCCATTCGTTGAATATTTTATAGCGTGCTTTTGGGCAAATTACCGTGTAATAAATTAGAGAGCCGTGCGAAGCTCGATGCACATATGCATATTGATTGCCAGCTCCACCTGGCGGCCGCCGTTTGCATATCTAATGAGTTTCTCCCGCGTAGCCGCACCGCCCTCCCTACACTCTAACAGCTGTGCGCCACTTACATGTGCCGCCCGCCACATTGACCAGGCCCCCTATGTTGAGTGTATAGTATATAATTGGATTATATAGAACCTCATATGTGCATAAACAGTGCGGCACAACATATGGGGGCATGAAATGACGTCAAGTACAACAAGCAACAACAAGTTGCCCGCTGTTGGCAGAATTAAAAGTGCATTCGCATGTTGACGTCATTCATCATTTGCGGTCAGCATTGACCATTGGCCAGCTCCAGTTTAATAGTCATCGAAAGGTGACACATCGTGTGCGTATTGGACTGTGCCCTCTAGCTGGACGCTCCTCTAGCAATATCTTATCGCTGGCATCGCAGTGGCGCGGCCTGGCAAGGCAAGGGCCGGGGAATTGAGTTGCGTAATTGAAACGGCTGCAAGCACTTTATTTGAAATCAATCAATGCAACCTATCGTCGCATCCTTTCGCCTGCCGTCGTTAGATTAGGGAGCTGGCTGGCCGACACCCTAGTCTGCTTGTTTATTGAGGACAGCGTGCTGTGCTTAATATCCGATGACAGCAAATTGATAGCGGCACTTAATTTATTTACAGCGCTTAATTAACACGCCCAATAAAGGATGCCCTGCAGCTAGACAATTACTGAGATACAGTTAGATAGGGTTACAAATTAAGTGCTCTAATTCATGATATATGCAGCCTGATTAAAGCTGATATTATCGATAATTATCGATATTTTTGCAACAGCTAGTTAAATACTGACACAGGGACAGATAAGATAACAACCTAATTGTTTCCGATCATGATATGAATCACATAACAAATTATTTGTAATTTTATCGATTGCAATGATAATTTTCTGTATATTTATAGCAGCTTGTCAATGGCTGAGATACGGTCAGGCAGATAAATAGATCTATATCATGATATGAATGCCAAAGCAACTGATATGTAGTGTGATTAGAGATTAGAGAGATTAAGATAACGGCTCGATATGGCGATAATGATCGATATAGTACATTTCAAAACTAACATCAAGTGAAATCTTATTTTACTATTAGATCATACAATATAATAGTAAGTTTCTAAGAAATGAAAGTAAACCACACTCAAAACCAAACTTCTCATCTGCATATAAATTTTCGCTTAATGTTTATGTGTTCTCTACAAATAAGGTCACAATCTTGTTCATTTGTTTATTCGATCTGTTTTGAGTGCTCTTGTCTATTGTTAATATTCTAAACTGCTTAGTATGAAATGTTTAATTTATTTTGGTTTTATACTCATTTCAATGTCCAGCTATGTTTCCTTAAGTCGTGTCAATGTCGTAAACATGAATGTAAATTTGTGTGTAGTAAAACTATAGAACTATAGAACTACCTAGTTGTATTAATATAAATTGACTATTCTATAGATATATTGTTCGCTTTCTCTATTTCTTCCTTTCTTTTAACATATTTCATTCTATGTATGGGGTAACTGCTCACATTAACTGCAGTATTCGATTTCAAATTCAAGCGTCGACCCTCGCAAAAAGTGCTTTTAACCAAACTGCCCTCCACAGACAGTTTGAGCAACAGCCCAGCGCCATCATCGCCAGGTGAAGTTCTTTTCAAAATTTTGCACAGTTCACAGTTGAACCAATTATCACCGATTATTTAACGGAACATTGAACATATCGATTTACGATTTATTTAACCGATAATTTAACGGATTACCGATTGTTTCCATGAATATTCCACTCACCATTTCAGCAATCAATTCACCGATCATTTCACTTTCGTGCGATCATGCCACCGATCATGCGACTGATGCATCTTCAATTTTCACATATGATACTTGGATGATAATTCCAGTGATCACACTGATTACACTGGTTTTTTTCGCCGATCATTAAATGAATATACGAATATTCGATGGCCCATCTGTGGCACATATTTTGCACATTCATTTAACTTTTGCTTTCGCTTATTGTGATCATCAGCATTCGGATCGTTAGTTAGCCCTATATGCAGTTGGCTAAAAACAGCGCGCATTTGTATGCATATCACGATTTTATATTGTTAGTTAAGTATTCACTTAGCCATGACCGTAGACCAGTCAAGCGTTACCATATCTCTGACGCACTTGGCTGCCATTTGTATCATTTTGCTTTCGTTCTCATCTATTGTGTGCCACACGGTGCATTATCAAAAGCTTTTCAGTTATTGTTGTACGCGTATTGTATATTTTTTGCGAAATTATGACTTAGAATTGAAGGCGATTCTTCCCGTACCCCCCCGTTCCGCCCATTTCCTGGATGAAGGATGCCAACAGTCTGGCTGTGACTCTGCCCCTGCCTGACAACCTGTCCAATCATATCTTATCGCCCCATTTATAGTTATATTCAGTTGTTGTAGAACTTAAAAATGTTCGCACTCTCGATAAGCCTTAATTAATGGACAACCACACAGCGTTGGTTGGCATTCAATTGAAAAGCCCGCTCATATAACATTTGACTGCAGAACTTTACGATAGCAATTTTCGGTCTGATAAGAGGGCTCTACATTTTATTTTATTTTTTTTTTTTTGGGACAGTCTGAATCATCAGGCGCCATTCGACCTGTCAGCAATTTTGGAGTATGAATAACGGGTTGCCGAACACCTGGTTCCCTTTTCAATGTTTTATCTTGATATCTTTATGAAACAAAGACGATTAAGTCTGCAGTCAAATGTTCTAAGTTCAAAGCACATCTGGCATCTAATGCGAGCACGGGCTGCTTTATGAATTTGTTTATTATTTTATTTACCATATGCATTCACGCCAACATATGCGAAAGCGTCTACGAGATGAATTATGACAAATTCAGCACGTGTGGCAGGCGTTATAAACATTCAACTTAAAAGCTTGCAGAAATTGTAAAAGTTTAAAATTTATAGAAAAATTATATGTTTATTTAAAATCTTAGGGTTTTAAAGGCGTCCGCTGGGAATTTCAAAATTTATCTATAAGTCTAAGATTCCTACATTGAAGATGATTCTATTTTTGCGTTGTCTGTTTTCAAATATATCAAAACATTAATTTCGCTAGCCATATATAAATTTACATATATAATAGTTTTGAAAAATATGACTTCTAAATGCTAAATTTCTTCTCTTTTCCTAAGCACTGGAAAATATACTTTTCGTCACTTCCATAAATTTGGTCTAAAGAAATCATTAATTTTTTTATTTTGAGCCTAGAAAAATAAGTTGTGTTCTGCTTTTAGACGCCTTTGAGTATAGAATTTATAAAAAAAATATGAAATTGACATAGATATACATAGATAATAATACAAAGTGTTATATATTTAATTGATTTTAATGTATTTCAATTTGCATTTTTAAAAAGTTACAAAACCTTTGTTCAAGTTTTTATTTGCGGGCGACCACTGTATTATACGTGCACATTGAGTAAGATCATGGAACTGAACAGATGTAGTTTAAAGTTTGTATGTACTTAAATAGCTGTTTGATCTTTGGTCCATTAAAATTGTACTACAAAATTAAGTCGTGCAACAATCAAATCAACGCTTAAGTAACAGGCGCCTTGGGATCGCGTCTCATGAGCTCACTGTAGGCATTGTATGTGTGCAGAGTTCACACACACACACACACACACACGCACACAAAATGTGTGTGCATATACATTTAAGTATCTAAGTAGTTAATAACCTCATCGATAGCGCCCCAAATGTTTGGGGGAGAGCGCATGAGAGGGAGAGACTGACAGAGAGAGCGAGAGACACGGCCAGATAGTAGGGGACAGCGAGAAATGCTGCGACGTCGACGTCGACGCTGACTGCGCTGACTGATATCATATCTGCGGGCCGTCTAAAACAACACACAAGTACTAAATATCATCCGTGTAACTGGACGGGCGTCTGCTGCAGTTCAAAAGAAACGCGCCTCTCTCGTGCTCAAAAAAATATTCGAAACGTTTTCAAAAAATTGTTTTGGTTTTTTGTTTTTTTTTTTTTTTTGGCGAGCAGCGAGCAGCGGCAACAACAGCCACAACTACATAGCTAATGGCTCATTATTATATGGCGTACTGGGCGTCTATGGCGGCAGCGACGCGAGCGTCAGCCGCTGTGTCAGTCGCGTCATCGCCGCTGGGCCAGCGGCGGCAGCTGCTCGTCGCTGCTCTTTGGGCATATTCAGTTGTCGTTGCGGCTCCGGCTCCGTAGTTAGCTGCGTTTTGTTTTCGTGCGCCGCGGCATACTTATACATATACATATATCTCGCAATCAGACAGTCACAGTCGTCGGTCGGTCTGGCGAGGTATCCCTACACGCATTCGCTGCTGGCGTCTAGTCGGTCTCACATTACGGCCACCGATGCGGATACGTGTTCTTTTTGATTCGTCTGCGCATAACGCATACGCCGTGTTGTGCCGCGTTGATTAAACAAATATGCAAAGGCGACAATTAACGCAGACCCCAATTTCTACGCACATTCTTCAGCTGTGAGCTCAGTGCGGAGCAGGCAGCGTACCAAAGAGTTGTCATGAATCTACTACAAAGCAAGTGCCAATTGCCAATTGCCACGCCTCCGCCTCCGACACCGAAACGCCCCTACAGTGTGCCCAATTATGAACTGAAATTTATATGCTTTTTATTACGTGTGCCAGAAAAGACGCTTCGTAAATTCGAAAATTGTTTTTTTTTTGTTTGCGTATTTTTGGCGCGCTCAAAAAAAGTTGAATAAAAATAATAAATAAAAAAATTACAATAATAATAGTGTGCACAATAATGATTACAGTGCAAGTGCGAGTCGCTTGACAATGCGAACCGAGAGACCCCAGAGACAGCGACAGACACTGAGACAGAGACAGAGACTGAGACAGAGACTGAGACTGAGAATCTCAATGGGCATTCTCGCCAGCTAATATGCATACGTATGTGCTCTATGTGTGGTCATGTGTGTATTTTGTGTTGCTCTGCTTATATTGCGAAATAAATTAAAACATATTCGTAAAATAAATAAAACAGAACGCGCCGCGTCTGCCGCTGCCGTTGCCGCTGCTCTGTGGACTACCTTGAGACAATGTTGATTTGTTGTTATGTACTTTACACATGCGGCTCTCTACGTGCTTAAGCATACACAATACACAAATAATGGGCCGTGAATATGTTTTCGAATTGCTTTTAGATCTTAGCCGAAAATCGAACTTATTGCGGGCCATAAAAGCATACAAAATCAGCCGGCGTGCAACTTATAAATGTTATTCCATTTCTTTTCGCAGGAATCGCCAATTGGGCCTCAGATAATCGCGATGGCAATCCAACAGATAAGGCAAGTATTTCCCAAAGCCGTTCAACAATTAAATTGTTTTCTGTTTGTATTGTTTTTACATTTTCAAAATATGAAATAATAGCCAACAAACAAATAACACTATAACTGGGTCAAGATCTGAGTAGGAAATGTAATTGTCTAAGTGAACTTGCCGATAAGAGCAAATGCTGACTAATGCAGCTATAATCAATGTGTGGGAGGTGCTGGCCCTAAAGCACAGATTCAATATCAATAGATAGAAACAGACCACGTGCAATGTTGAAAAGCGAAAAAGATTTCCTATGGTTTCCACCATATCCTGTGCCCAAAACTAATACGGGCGTATTACTTTTGTATTAAAGGATAGATTTATACTTAGTTGAACTTGAAATGGTATTATGCAAACTCCAGCTATTAGACAATATAATTATTCCGGTTTTAAAATCGTACTGGAAATTTATCAGATGGGCAATCTGCCAGCGCCTGAAAGTAAATTGTTTTATGTTTATTTCGTTTCGTTGTTTATTTCTATTGTTTGGCATACAAATCAATTTTAATATTTACAAAATATTTTACATAGGTTTTGTTTTTTTTTTTGTTTTGCTTTGAATTTCAACATATTTTGATAGCTTGTTGCGTTAAATGGGAACTAAATTAGTTTGTATTTGAAAATTAGTCACAGGGTATCTTTTAGTTATGATACACTGATAGCAGAGATAGAAGCGTTTTTATATAGTGTTTTTTTTTTTTTTGAGTAACTTTCATTTTAAGCGCTAATTAGATTAACATCAGGTATATGATTCCAGTTCGGGCGTTAAGCGTAAAAAATGTTTTAGAGCAAGTTGGTCGCTTGATGTAAGCACACACACCCACACACACACACAGATACACACACGAACAAGGAGCGGAAATTTGCAGTGCGAGCGCATGTTTCTGAAATATTTAAATTTATGCCGGGACTGCAGAAAGGTGCCGACATGCAGAACATCGCAGCTGTTTGGACATATTGAACTAAAGCAACTCTTCTCTCGTGCTCCACAGTCAGCTGCAGATGCGGCCAAGCTCAATCGCAAGGAGTCCTACAAGGCGCAGCGCAAGAATTACAGGCGCGAGAAGAAGCGCGTGGCCAGCGAGCTGATGAACTCTCTGCAGGATCCGGCGGTTATAGTACTAGCTGACTGGCTAAAGGTGAGTCTTTATTACTGTATATACTATATATTAAAACAGTTGACAACACGCTCTTCCCTTGTCTCTTGCAGGTGCGCGGCACACTCAAATCCTGGACGAAGCTGTGGTGCGTGCTGAAGCCGGGCCTATTGCTCATCTACAAGAGCCAAAAGACAAAAAGCAGCCATTGGGTGGGCACAGTTATGTTGACCTCTTGTCAGGTCATTGAGCGACCTAGCAAAAAGGATGGCTTCTGCTTCAAACTCTTTCATCCCATGGAACAGTCCATTTGGGCACCACGTGGACCAGACAAGGAGACAATCGGTAGGAGAGTAGATTGCACACTTGCGGCATTAACTCATCCGCTGATTGCGTTCACTTACAGGCGCTGTGGTGCAACCACTGCCGACCGCTTATCTGATCTTCCGTGCCCCCAGTCAGGCGGCTGGTAAATGCTGGATGGATGCACTCGAGCTGTCGCTGCGCTGCTCAGCCTTATTGCTGCGCACTAACAGCAGCACGACGCCTTCCAGCAATTACACCGGCGAGCCGCTGCCCGTCTCGAACGAGACACAGTGGTCGGAGGCCGACTACGAGAAGCATTTCAACGATCATGGTAAGTGGATGCAGCAGTGGCTGGCACCGCCGGCCGAGCAGGACAACTCCCGCTCCGACAACAGCCAGTCGTCGCGCGCCCAGACGCCGCTGCTCCTGCAGCAGCTATATAGCAGCGCCGTGAGTAACTGGGAGCGCACCAAGCGACTTCCTCGTTTTGGCCAACGTTCCGGGCAAACACGACGCGGCAGCGATGCCTCTACCGCTGACCCAAAGCCAGGCAGACGCCTGCGCAGGCATCTGAGTCCGATCAGCAAATCCCTGTCGCTGGGCGGCGTACTATGCGGAAGCAGTTCCAGTGACGACGAGGAGGATTACGCTGGCAGCAGTGAATGCGCTATGGGAGCCGGCTTCAGGCCAGTTAGTGCACCACCCGATTGTCTGTTGCTGCCGCGATTTCAAATCAACGTGCAGGGTGAAGGCCCCAACCAGATTTCGCTCTATAAATTAAATATATATTCATGTCGTAGTTGTTATTGTTGTTGGCAACCAGCTAGTTAGCCAGGAGATTCGACAGTCGATTCGATAGTTTGGATGCTTCTACATAAAGTAGTCTCGGCGTATTTTGTTCAAAATTCATGTAATTGTAATGTGGTGCTCGAGGCTAGTTTTACACAACTATCTCAGTCACTCATCCACCCATCCAAAAGCCGGTACACATTAGCATTAGTTTATGGAATAGATCAACATTGTTGGCTGCTTTGGCTAGAGAAGCGTCTGTGGTGGGCTAAAAGTTGAACAACTTATCAACTCGTTACAGATCTGGACGCTGACAGTCAGAATGAGGCGCCCAATGCGGCCATGTCTGGCCTGGAGTCCGATTCAGAGTCCGAGGCTGCGCAGGAAGATGATCTTGACCAAGTACCATGCGAAGAGACGTGCTATGTCCCATTCCAAGAGGAGGAATTCGGTGAGGTAAGTAAAACTATTTGTTAAAAACATTTAATGATTGGCCAGATAATTCACCTATGTTCGTTTTTGATGCGATCCAGCAAGGAGAGCAGGTGGAGGAGCTGGCAGAGGAGAACAAGAGCCTCATCTGGTGTATCGTAAAACAGGTTCGACCCGGAATGGATCTTAGCAAGGTGGTGCTGCCTACATTTATACTCGAGCCGCGTTCGTTTCTGGACAAGCTCTCAGACTCTTATTATCATGCTGATTTGCTCTCCAGGTAGGTACTCCTGCCAATATGAATTTGTCTACTGGTGACCCTCAATCTCGACTCTTGCTACTTGGCAGGGCTGTGCATGAAGATGATGCATTCACGCGCATGAAGCTCGTTGTGCAATGGTACCTGTCTGGATTCTATAAGAAACCCAAAGGCCTCAAAAAGCCATATAATCCCATATTGGGCGAAACGTTTCGCTGCTATTGGGAGCATCCAAATGGTTCTCGCACGTATTACATTGCCGAGCAAGTCTCTCACCATCCGCCCGTTTCGGCCTTCTATGTGACTAACCGCGAGGATGGCTTTAGCATCACCTGCTCCATCTTGGCGAAATCGAAGTTCTATGGTAACAGCACATCGGCCGTGCTGGAGGGCACGGCTACGATGACGCTATTACCACGCGGCGAAATTTATACAGCAACCACGCCCTACGCTCACTGCAAGGGTATACTCATGGGTACATTGTCCATGGAACTTGGCGGCAAGATAAACATCGAGTGCGAGAACACCGGTTACAAGACGGAGCTCGAGTTCAAGCTGAAGCCATTCCTCGGCGGCGCAGATGCCACCAATGTGATCGTCGGCAAAATTAAATTGGGCAAAGAGACGCTGGCGACTATACAAGGACACTGGGATAAAGAGTGTCGCCTCAAGGATCTGAAAACAGGCGAGGAAATAGTGCTCTTCAAGGCCGATGCAGACATGCGCGCGAAACGGCTCACCCGCTATCTGGTGCCAATAGAAAAACAACTGCCAACGGAGTCGGAACGCCTCTGGCGTCTCGTATCCGAGGCTATAGCGCGCGAGGATCAAGTTGCTGCCACCGAAGAGAAAACCGTGCTTGAGGAAAGCCAGCGGGCGTCGGCCAAGGAACGTACCGAAAACGATAAGAAACATATTCCGATGCTTTTCGAGCTGAACGACTACGGTCAATGGATATACAAATATTCAGATTTGCGGCCATGGGACGTGCGTAACGATGTGCGCCAATACGAATGTGATTACAAGGTGATCACCGAGACTCGAAATAAAACTGCTCCCGTCGTGCTAGGCGCCGACAAGATGCATCCGCTGCGTTCCGGTATGAATTTAGTCACTCGGTCCTTTGGACAATTTAACTATTATACCTTCCGCAGAGGCCTCCAAGGCGCCCAAGGCTAAAAACAAATCCCTTGTGCTGGCCCCGCACGACACCAACTCGGATTCAAGCCAATCACCCCAAGGCGCCGTCAAACGCGGCTCCAATAGCGCCGCCATCAAACAGTGAGTGTTCAATCCTTTTCTACTGATACATATATTATATATATATCTATATTATACATAATATTTTCTGTGATTTTTCAGACTCACAAATGCCATGGATCAGATGAATGCAACACTGCAGAGTCACACAAAACAGCTAAACGACATCACGCGCCGACTCGAGCGTATGCAGTATGCACCGTCCTCTAGAAGCTCTAATGTGCATGAGCTGATTGGCGGCGGAGTTTCCCTATCGACGGTGATCAAGTCGCTGATTTATGCACTAATTGGGCTCACGGCCAGCTTAATTCTGCGTTGGCTGTTCAAATAGTTCTATTGGTTAATCTGTATACACATTTAAGTCAAATTTTTGAGCTACGTATATATTTATATATAGTTTATATATACAACCCATATTATTCTAAATCTATAACCATGCCTCCTCTATTGTACTATATTCTGTCCCACTCAGAATGCCTTGGCATCCAGCCAAAGAACCAGATTCGATGTTTTAGCGCGCGTCTAGAGTCAATCACGAATTATATTAGTCTAAATTTAAACCCATCTAATAGCTAGTGCGGTCACAGTTGTTGAAAATCTGGTACCATTCAGATACGTTTAGGCTAACGCGTTTTATAAAGAATGGAGTCGCACCCAATTTCGCAACAATTCCATGTCGCTGACACTAAAAGTCTAACCAATTCCTGTATCAAAACATAAATACATATACATATAAATATATATATATACACTAGTTCTCACAAAATAATATATACATATATAGATCATTTGAAGGAGCTGCTTGAGAGGCTTTCTCATTGACAAGGACACCGTGCAACACTCATAACCATTTAGAAGTTAAATGCTAAAGTGCTTATAATAAATTTAGTGTAGTTTACACACAATACACTTTTTTCATTAAGCGAACACAAATTGTACTACCTGGAGAACACTTTAAAATATTTAACTTGAAATAAACATTTGACACATTTCTTTCCTTTCATTTCCAAAATTGTTCTAACTGAAGAACAGTCACAGAGGGTGAGTTTTGCAAATTATAATTGAAGGGATATTAATTGAGTCGTTCAAAGAAAGGGGCATACAGAATTTGATTGTGGCCAATTAAGGGTAGTTGCTGTCAGTTATTTGAGTACTGAAATTTAAGAACAAGACATTTTCTGAAGAGCATTGATATTCATTTCATTCTTTCACTCACAGCAATATATAGTTTTTTTTTTTTTTCCTTTTATTCGTTTTATTGTTTTTGCTTTTTGCTTACAATTACAAATAGTTTATATATATTTATATATATACTATATATTTTCTACAACATTTACGGTCATTCTCGTTTTCAATTTAGCTGTTTTACAATTTTTCACTTATTATAGGGACTCTTGTCTCTCCGTTTACTACGTTTTGTTCTATAAGCAATCCGGTTTTGGGGATTTATTAACGCGATCGCGACTGCGACTGCTAACTCTATGATGTTCGATGTTGATCATCGTTCCGGTTTAGTCATGTGAGTAAAAGATGCTGCTAAATATGCGCTAAGAGTACACTTATTTAAATAGTTTGTTTGTTTTTGTTTTCTAATTACGCCTTACACTTAGCGGGATGGCGAGTGGGAGGGGGATTACACAGTATAGTAGCAATAACTAGATTTTTTTTTCATTATATATATATATAGGTTCGGCTTAACATTTAACACGACGAGAAGCTGAGAATCAAGGTCTCTCGGTCCTGCAACTAAAACGGTGTATGGGCTGGTGTGGGAGGGTAGGTGACAACAGTTAAGAAGCTAATAAGTAGGATTAGATTAGAGTTTAGTTTTGTTTAGGCTTAAACACCCTGTATTATGTGTGTGTGTATTATTGTTGTGTATGCATATGAATACACACAGCTGTATATATATATATATATGTATATGTATATGTATATATATGCATGTACAAATATGTATGTACGAGTACGGCTAGACTTAACTTACAGTTGGACATGCATGTGGATCAGCTCTACTATAGTTTACATACAATTGCGCTCTGCACAGCAGGTAAATAACACTTTTCGAGTATATATTCAAATATATATGTGTACATATATGTAAATGTTTGTATTATGCATGTTTGTATGTATTTAATGTATGTATGTACTTTATGTACTTATGTATATATCCGATCTGTATCTAGTATAACTGTATGCGCTTATGCATATTGCACGATTCCTCAATGGCTACTTGACTGGCTGACAGACATACGGGCGAGCGGGCTTGGGCTAGGTCTTGGGGCTACACGACACGTTCCCTGTCCGAAGATAGTTTAGCACGTGTGGACCCGCAAATGATTTTGTAGCGTGCTCTTTTGTCGGAACTGTTTGGGACAGTAGGAACAGTTGTAGGGCTTCTCTCCGGTGTGGATCTTCATGTGGTTATTGAGCGTGGCCACTTGCCGGAAACTAACCTCACAGATCTTGCACTTGTACGGCTTCTCGCCCGTATGCGTTTTGATGTGATTGACCAGGGTGCTCTGCTGGGAGAAAAAGCGCCGGCAGACGCTACACCCAAAAGGCCGGTCCGGATTGTCGCCTTTCAGCATATTTATATTGCCTACATTCAACCGAGCACCCTGCGCATTCTGGTAGTGTTCGACTTTAGTGTTGGCCGCTGCTGCCGCTGCTACATTGCTGGCCACCACAGAGCTCACTGTCGTGCTGCCATCGAGGAAGTGTAGCAGAGGATGATGGTCCAGCTGGAGGATGTTGGGCGTTGTGCTGTGCAGGTTGTTGGGCAGCAAGCCGCTCGTCAGCTGCTGCGTGCCGGGTGCTAGGGGCGCTGGCATGGTTGAGTGATCCACTATAAGTCCGCATGTGTATTGATCGTTGCATGGATGGTATTGGTTGATAGATAGATAGTTCGGTTAACCGTACAGATCAGTTGGTTGTTGATCGTTGTTGTTGTTGGGGGTGTTGTGGTTGTTGATTGGTTGGCATGCGTACAAAATTTAAATAAAAGCTTCGTTAGGGAAGTGCGTTAATGATCAATGCACACAGTGATAACAGAAAGCGGCTCAGTTGTAGGGCGAACACACAAGCGGCTCACCTGTGGCTGTGACTGTGGCTGGCTGGCTGGCGAGATGTGTGTGCGTCTTCATGTGGTTGGTGAGCGTGCTCTGCTGGCGGAACTGCATGTGGCAGTAGGAACACGTGTATGGCTTATCGCCGGTGTGTATCTTTTTGTGATTGGCCAATGTCGCCAGCTGGCTGAAGGACTTGTCGCAAGTCTCGCACTTGTACGGCTTAGGATCGATGTGCGTCCGCTCGTGATTGTGCAGCGTGCTCAGCTGCGGGAAGCGACGCTTGCACACACTGCACTGATACGGTTTCACCAGTTCCTCCGCCTGTGGTGAGCTATAGGTGCCCGAGTATAGAGTCTTTGAGATTTGTACACGCTGCTGCTGATGCTGCTGCTGGTAGGCGTTGTGCATCTGATTCGACTGCGATTTACGGCTATGCTTGCCGGATGAGGACGGCGGCTGGTAGTTGAGTAGCGACGTCGGCGTGCTTGACTCAGCCGCTGCAATTGCATGAGTGTGTGTGTGTGTGTGTGTTTGTAGGTGTATTAAAATCAAAAATTGCAGTTATAGTTATTGCTGCTACACATGTTTCTCATACAAGTATATATACATATTTATATCAAGCTAATGTGGTTGTCCCGCACTTACCCTTATGCGTCTTGATGTGATTTATGAGCGTGCTCTGCTGGCGAAAATCCTTGGCGCAAATATTGCACGTGAACGGTTTCTCGCCTGTGTGGATCTTCACATGGTTCGTGAGCGTCGATATCTGGCGGAAAGCCTTGTCACAGTGCTTGCACTTATAGGGACGCTCGTCTGTGTGTATTTTCATATGATTGCGTAACGTGGTCAGCTGCCGGAACTTGTTTTTGCACACGTGGCACTGTTTCTTCTTGCGCGGATCGTCCACCACAGACTCATCCTCGCTAATGACGCTCTGTACCTCCTGTTTCATAGGCGATATGGGCGTGTGATTGCCACCGCTGTTCGTTGTAGTTGTCGAGATATCAAGCAGGTGGACAAGCGGATGCTGTGGATGTAGCATGGCTTGATGGGTGGGATGCTGTATGGCCTGCACGGCGGTCAATTGATGCAGCGCAAACGGGCTCTGCTGCAGGCTCGCAATAGTCGTTGGCTGTTGTAAACTGTTCGGACCGATGCCACCGCCACCGGATCCACCGCCGCCACCACCACCACCGCCGCCGCCACCGCCACCAACGCTATGCGTGGCAAGCTGTGAAGGCGCATAGTGCTGATAGTTGGCCATAGCAGCTGTCGCGGCCGTCGCATGGTTCAAATGCATTGTACTTGCTTGCTTTCGTTAATTAAGTCGCGCCCTTTCAGGTATTCGAGAAAATCTTCTGCGCGAGCGTCCGCTTTGTTATTTTATTGTCTGCTCATGAAGGTAAAGTTATACAATTATGTCGAAAAGTCGCAGCCATTTGCACAAGCACCCGTCGGTTTGTTATTTTAGATGTCTGCTCGCTTCAGTCGCGGCTGCTGCTTTGCCAACGGCCACACGTTGCGTTCCACGTATGCGCTGTGGCGCTCAATATGGTGTACACTTTGCGCGGCACAACATTCCACACACTTTGCAACGTTTTTGCAATTGTTTGTGGCGCTTTTTGTGTGATTTGTGCAAATTTTCTCAGGCCACGCTCTTTTTTATCCTTATCAAAACAAAAATGACTGGCGTGGTTTTCGAGGGCTACAGAACGTGCAGAGCTGCATCAGGGGTGGTCGTTGTCCATTCGATTGTCATTTATCGAATACCAATAATGATGTACGATATTAAATAAGGGCTACACACCACATTTAGCGTTGCCGCTGCTAAAAAAAGTATGTTGCCGATAGTAAACATCAATTCGATATCGATATCGCGCACAGTCGCTTTGGTTATGATTTTGATAAATCAATCGGAAAATATAAGTGTTTCATAGAATTTTTTAAAAATAGGTAAGCTTAGATAATTATATGCATCTGAATGTCACAGAGATACAAAAAAAAAAACGATATAACCTCAAGCAATTGTGGCCTCCCTATACCATGCTACTATTAGCTCCTTTTTTTTAAATACGAAATGATGATTATTAGTCATTCTGAAATACAAAAAGGCATCTTAAATATAACACAAGTGCATTTTATATTAAAAATATCAGAATTTATGTAAAGGTAGCGCAATATGTGCATGTACCTTCCTGAAATGTAATGACCATATGAGCGATACTCGCCAGGTCACAATATATGTAATCACGTACGGGTGAATAGTTCGCGTGGGAGCCGTACCCACGAGACGCTGTTGTAGTTGTACCCACGAGTTGACCATCGTGTTGTATAACCCAGTGTCCAAGCTTAATATCTTGCC